ATATATATATATATATATATACCTGTTTTGTACGGTTTGCTTACACTAGACAAATACAATTTTGATAGCCGTTGAATAATAAATTTTTTATTTCATAAGAAAATGTATAAACGTAAGTTTATCAATGAATACTTTCTGCCGTTTCTTTCTTGGTCTTAATCGTTGCCCTGTTATATGAGAGTCGTTTTAGTCGTTTTTATATGAACATGATCATATTTTTTTCATCGTGAACCCGTAGTACTTCACTTAAGGCAAAACTTTTCAATGTATTACTAGTTTTTCATGTTTCATGTAAGCACACAGTAGTCGCTGGGTACCAAATTAGACAAATTTATATATACATATATATTCATTCATACGATTGTGCCGGTCGCAATGTGTAATGAATGCACGAATGCCTAACCGTTATGGAAGAGGTTTTTTAATCTCTAAATCGTGTCGTCTCTTCTCAATTCTGTTATTCAAGCGAGTCAGTCAATCTCAATAATAAGTCTAAAAAGCATTAGCCTTTGTTAGAGTATTAGTCGGCGAAAATTTGTATTCTTCCGATATGAAGGAGTTCAGATAAGTCGGATCATGAATGCCTCAGAGTTTTTCACATGAATCCGATTTCGATTGAACGTGAGTAGTTATTGCGCACAAAGCCATTTTGTGCTCAATTTTTACATAGATCTAGGTCACAGTTAGATTAGTCACTTCAAATTTTGATGTATCCATTGTCGTCTTATTAATGGTTTCTTCAATCCTCTTTGGTGTTGGTATCTTAATTAGGTGAAACGAACGGCGTGATGGCATTCAGCTATTTGCTTGATGGAACAGACTTCCTATTACGTTTATGAAGCCTTCTTGGAAATTCTTTTAGTGTCTTGCCTTTCCAAACATAGTTTTTACACCGAACATGAAATTCTATTATTCCATAGAAAGTATAATAGAAATAACTAGAGTTGTATACTTTCCACGACTGCCCGACATGCATACAACTGCGACATATTTTACGAGTTGCATCCGCGTTCTCTCCGCATACTCCTGGAAATCGCTCGTTATTCAGAAATATAATGATCTACTACTACTACTGGTTCGTTTAGCAAAAATTCTATTTATTAAGTTAGAGTAGCTTGTGTAGCTCTCGCAACAGTGCATACATAAATTCTCTCAGTTGTGTTCGGAAACGCGTTTGATTCCCATTTCCGCAGACGCGGCTATGGAATATTTGAAAATATTTTTCTCAATAGATCAATAACCCTTGGAAAGATTTTAACGCTATGATGCCCCGAATAGCTTTTCGTATAGCTATTTAGAATTCATCAATAAATCTTATGTAATGCATATGGTCGGTCGGTTGGCCGGTCGGCCGGTCGGTCAGTAAATTATCGCATGCAACAGTGTTTTAGTTTCAAAGCGTAAGCAATTCGAAGCATTTAAAATGTGATATTCGCCGTAAGGCGAATATAATTTTGCTACTTGTTTATTTATTCTTTATTTATATAGTTATATATTTTCTTTATATAAAAGGAAAAAAAAAACAAAAAATAATCGGGTGCGGTCATCTTAAAATTGCTTCCATGTGTCTATAATAACCTTCTTTCCTTTTTCATTCACTTAACATAAACGTTAACACTAATCTGGTACATGTGTGTGCGTGTGTTTCTGTACACATGTCTGCTATCTGTTTAGTTCTAAAAATCACTCTCCACTTCTACTCGCTCTCACTTTCATTTCGTTAAATTTTTTTCTTCATTCATTTGTCTTTTCTTTTTTTTTTTTGTGCCAAACTTTTTTTTTTTTGTTTTTTGTAGTGTTCTTGTGGCTGTGTGTTTTCGTATATGTGTGAGTGCTGTTTGAAACTTTTAATGTAGGCATGCGTGACTGTGTTGTTGCTTTAAGTTCCCAATGAGTTGCCATATGCTAGCATAGATTAAAAGTTTTATAAAGAAACGAGCTTTTTTGTTTTTGTTTTGTTTTGTTTTGTCTTTTGTGTTTTTTGTGTTTTTTTTTTTTTTTTTGGTTTTTTCTTTTTAAACAATTACAGGAACAGGTTTAAAGAGCAGGGTTGCCGTCGTTCCTTTCTTTAATATTCTCACTATATAAGAAAGTTCTTGACAACAATTTTCAATTATTTTGTGATTCAGACGGACCACTACATCTATACCATTGTGATGATGTTTGAAATATGTGCGAAGGGATTGAATGGATTTCTTGCTGGAAATCTAAAAATCCTGTATTTCTCTGATCGGCATTGATTTCCAATGGATTTCTCGGTCTTGGTCGTCCAGTGAAGGCCGAGATTGATATAAACATTAAATGTGACAATCGTGTAAAACGATTAAAGAATTTCCTCATAACCTTAAAATTTTTTGATTTACTTTTCTCAATATTCTTTTCATTCAATACATTCATGGGGTAGATAAAAATAGTAGACTGTTTTCATCTGTCGGCATCATTTATTATATCATTTTCGTTGTATCGCTGGAAAACTAAACGTTCTGATACTTGCAGAAATTCGAGAAAATGAAAATGTACTCGACGACTATAGCCTAAAACCGATATCTGATTAATCAATTTCTCGACAGCGACCTTCCGAACATTTCTCTTCTATTAATTATCATATTGCTTTTGTTTTGTTTTTTTTTTTTTTCGCACTATCGGGTGTATCCATAGATGTCAAGTAAACTGCTTTCGCTTTTTCAATCATATATATATATATATATAGTATGACGTAGTGAAATTATGTTTTCATATCAAATTTTAACGAATTAATTAATTTTAAAAATTAAAGTTACTTAACAATATATTATGGAAATCTTCCCGAATAACGGCATTTAATATATATATATATCGAATGAAATCCTTTCAGGACTTAATGTAAGAGAACTCTGTTAACAGATTGACAGACCTGTGTTAAAGTTTATGGTTTGTGTCTTTGCTATTCACATTAAATGAAAAGCCAAACATATTTGCAAATTGCAATTTGCCTTCAAAAAAAAAAGTATTGAACTCCATCGTATTATTTCCGTCATAAATGCGTCATCGCATATCGCTCCGGCGATCTAATTAAAATGAGTTCAAAACCTTGAACATATAACGTTTGTTTTGAAATCATAGCCAATATTTGATTGCTGTTTTGTTATCGCTAACGGGATCATAGATTAGATAAACGAGATAAAGAGACTAAGAGTTTTTCTTTGATAAGTCGGGATTTTTTTATGCCCATTACCCATGAGGGATGAGGGTACATTTTCCCAACACGTTTGCAGCGCCCAAAAGAAAGCTTCATAGGCACCATAAAGTATATTGTATAGATTCTGGATCACCATCAAATTCTGAATTGATTTAACAGTGTCCGTCTGTCCGTTTGTGTAATATCTGTTGTAAACACTCTGTTTCGGTCGAAATCGGTTGAAGGATACGTCCACAATGCCACATAAATTGAGAACACTTTTGTTTTTCAAAAGGAATGAAATATTAGTTTTGTGTTCATTACTCATAAAATATAGCAGATAAATGTATAAAAATTTGAATCCATATTCTATAGGCGATGCTGTAGTATGAATGCTGTGTACAAATAATTGACCACGCCTACCTAATATTATAATCTGTCAAAATGTAATTTTTTTTGCAATACTCAATATCAATATTCAGTTTCAAATTTGGAATGCACTTAATCATGTCCGTCTGTCCATATGTCCATCTGCCCAACTGTGTGGCATCTGTGGTAAACATTCCTCAGTTAGCGAAAATGAAGATATCGCGTCCAAATTTGCAAAAGAATTTCAAGGTGACGAACGCACACACGCCTCTGCGACAAATATAATTTACTTATTTGTTTGTTTTTTATTTGTTCAAATTTGAAATTTGCAATCTGATGTGTATTGAACACGCTTGAAGACACTGTGAGGTTTCTTGCTGCCAAACAAGGCAAATTTATTCATCGCAAGTTGACCGTAATAATACAGTTGCGAATATTCAAAGAATGTGTGGATGATTTGCTTAATTGCGAAAAACGAGAGAAAAATACAATTAAAATTAACTGTTTTTTTTTTTTTTGCTGCCCCTATTTTGCCTTTCTTTCCAGATTTGTCTTCTTCTCATAGCAACTCTTCTGCCTTCTAAAGCGATGGAAGATTTTTCGTTGCCAGTTTTAGTTAATAGCATTACTTTTAATTCTCCTAACAGTAATAAAAATAATCTTAACACCAACCATATTAATACTCAAATGCATCATCATAAAGATCAGATGTTGGCTGCTGGTAGCACACCGAGTACAACGGCTTTCTTGTATGAGGCACAATCAGCCGCCAAGCCCGAAATGACTATGGCTAAAAGTGATTACGCGACATTCACAAGTTGTATCCAACAGTCCGCTTTGTTAGATCACCGAGTTGATACTAATTTGGAAACTAATTTAGATGGAGCCGTTTCGCTGGGTGGTCTAGGATTATGCGACTTGAAATTTGCGAATACTAGTAATTTAATGGGCGGTAATAATACTACCGTTTTATGTACGGATGTGAATAATTATAAACATTTACCACCGCTACCGATAATAGAATCTAATAGTTTATTTGCGACTAGCAATGGAGGCGAATTAACCAAGGGTTCCGCGTCTCCAACGAGCATAACTGGTAATTTGCAGGCTACATTTTCAAATATTGTTCATTTTAATCGAGACCCGTTGCCGGAAGAGTTACCTTCTACGCAATCGCATTACGTAACCTTTAAGGAGAGTGAAGAATCAAACACTGCCGAACATCCGCAAAAAATTTTGGGTAATGTCAATACACAAATGCCACCACCGCCATCGACTGGTTCAACGGACGAAAATTGCGGAGCCGGTTTAATGGAATTTACCATAGAATCCACCGATAAGTCACCAAACCTCAATAATCTACATGAAGAAAATGTAGTTGTTAATGTAACAGCCGCAAATGCTCCAACAATAGCAGCAATGATAAAAAATACTGCCAATACAAATACAACTGTTATTACGACAATGGCTTCTATTGCTACTACAACAAGTAATATTAATGTAAATTTACAGCAACAACAGCAGCAACAAAATGTAAGCTCGTCGGTGCACAGTGTTGAAGAAGTCGGCCTTAACTCTATGGCCACAACACGTTCATCATCATCTCTATCAGGCATCTCTTCTTCGGCGGTTTCATCCATAGCATCTCCAAGCTTAAATCCTTCGCCATCCTCTGTTGCTAATGTATTATCCACAGCTACTTCAGTACCTACACAACTACAACAACAACAACAACAACAACAACAACAACATGATAATCACCATCCTAGATCTGTGCAAACCGATCAACAAAATCATCAAAATTGTTCAAATATTAGCACCGATAGTAATGACGATTCGCTTTCATCATCAGAAGAATTTTTAGAAATGGATTTAAACGGGAGAGCAAGTGCTGGTAAGTAGTCATAGTAATTAATTTTTTTTTTGCATATTTTATTCAACTGGCAATAGTTTGTTGTTGGGGAACAGAGCTACACGAGAACTTAAGATTTCGAGCGAAAATCACGTCCAATACTCCGAACAACACAACTTAAAACCAATTAATAGGAACCAACCAACGTTTTCAAAAAAAAAAAAAAAAAAAAAAAAAAAAAAAAAAAAAAAAAATGTGTGTGTGAACTCAAAATAATATAACGAAAAATTCTCTCATTCGTGTTAACGTCAACGCCATTATTTACTTAAATTATTATTATTACTTTTATAAGAATTTGCTCACAATCACGGAACATATTGCAACTAATGCTAGCGGAATCCCGAGTTTAAAGATAAAGATAAAGTTAACATGTGACAGTTCGAAAAGTCTTTAATCAAGGATTCTTTCAAATTGGAACAATTCTTGTCATAATTGTTAGCGCAGTTGAAAAGTTTCATAAGTAACCGTTAGACGACGTCCTTCATCGAATAATATATGTATTATGAACTTGAAATTGAAAGTAAACGTAAGGAAGAAATAGAAAATATATTAAAGATATTTAGAGGATAGAGAAGAAATATCTGTAATCTGTTATGTAAAGAGACTCAGTCGCTTAAGGCCACCGAGCGACCACAAAGAGCGATCTATAGCAGAAATATTATTATAGACATGTACGTAAGCAGAGTGAATTTTTCGTTGAGTTTTCGAAGAGGGCCGTTAAAGCTGCCTGGAAATAATCTCGACCTCTCTAAAACTGTCAGAGATTTTAAAACCAGTTAGCACGTAGCGATCCGTTACTAATCATGTCTAATAACTTCTATGTATATGCATATTTATATGTAGATGATAATCGAATGGCGTAAAAATATATATATATATATATATATATATATATATGATCGATTTGTGTAGTTTCATTTTTAGGCCATCAAGTTTCGCAACAGACATATTATATTAGATTTACTTCCAGTGATAGGGAGATTGTTATAGACTTAATAAAATTTTTAAAATATCTGATCGAAAATTTTGCGTCTTCAGAACAGCGACAAACACTTCTCTATGGATAAACATTTTTGAGAACAATTAGAAAACTGACAATTAGTTCTCTTAAGGAGATTGGTTGCTGCACTCCGACCTATCACAACAAATGATAAACTTCTGGTCTTACACAGATATTGCAATATTGCCGACAGATCCATATGATTTCTGGATAACATCAGTCTTCTTTAAACGATGCGTGTCAAAATTTCATGAGATTAAGCACAATTCGTTCCCAAATTACGCTTTGGATGAGTTTCGCAGGTTCTGTTCACTCATTCATTGGCACAAATCGCATGAAAAATGCTTTTTATTTCGCCTATATAGCGCCAAACAGCGCAACACATTGTTGTCAAAAGTGAGTAAATGCCGTAACCATTCCGAACAGAGCTTTCTCGTGGATAAATGTTCAAAATCATTGGCTTTATTTAAAATTCTGAAAGCATCCACATATTTTTCGTTTCGACAAACATAACATCTCTCACACCAATGCTATCTGTGAGCTGCATTGGAAGAAGCTTGCTGTGACCACTTCTTTTCTCATAGACTATTGTTATGAAGGAAATACAAAGCAGCCGTTGTTGTTTTGCGACTAGTTATAGAGAGTACTTTTATTTAGTAATAGTCGAAATATCAGGTCTAGCATTTGACGCAAATATATCTTGAAGAAGTGTAGTGTGGTGTTGGCTAACCGGAATTTCATGGTTGATCCAAAGGCAAGAGAAACTATGTCGCTTAAAGTGAGGCTAAAGGCTTTTTAGTCTAAATTTAAGCTCCACGGAGGTCCAGAGCCCATTCATTTACATAGTCATGTATCGTTTCCATCATTCCTCGAGCGAATAATTAGAGAGGTTATGATAGGCCTCAATATCCTCCAGAGTGGGTCGATTGACCCATACACAATAAATATATTTGATTTGCCAGGCGAAGTTCAGGCCCCTAGTTTTCCGAAATTGTTTAACTCGCTGGAGGGAATCGCTTCCGCAAAATTAACCCGTGTACCATCGACTGCCGTGAGGTAAAGATTACAACAGTTACTCACTTTAAGCAAACGGAACATATGTGAGCTATACTTTTTCTCATCAAAAATCAATACGACGAAGTTCAGATTTCGCCATTGTTTTGGAAACTGTAAAAGTAGTGTCAGCCAAAAAATAGTAACCTAAACTAATTGTTGGAATGGAATGAAGTTTTCACACGTATCGTTCAAAGTATATTGCTACCCCGCAATCATATGGGCCTAATGCATTTTGAGCGATGTGATGATGTTGCATAGATTTACCAATTAAGCGATCAAGCGGGAGAACTTTAATAAAACTTCACATATATAAATACATCGACTAGCGTTGTTTATATACTCGCTATACATGTTAAGGCATTTAATTGTTAAATAAGAAAAGTTTTCCGCTAATGTTGCCAGTACACTTCATAACACTTCATAAAGCAACGTAGCGCGTGAGATGTTTCTTCTTGTAAGCAATTCTAGCAACAACAAAATGATTGTTTTGCGAATAATTTGCGATTTTGTATACAAAGCATTGCTGCATAAACTTCGCCTTGAATTGCATGAGTTTTTAACTGGTTGTTCTGTAAAGCTAAAAAAATTCCCTCAGAAAAAGCTCCAAAAATCCATCAAATATTTCATAGCAACTATTTTGCGCTTTCTTTAAATACGCTTTGTATTTTTTATTGCACATAGTGCACAAAAAGTAACTTCGTTTCGTTTTTCAATGGTTTCTTTCGTCTTTAAGGTGAATTGAAGAGTATTTAGTTATAAGATTTTAACACAATTTAATACAATTATTTGTTATTAATTTTAAAATTTTAATAAAATGAAACATCAAAAGAAAGAAAGAAAGATAAATAAATGAAATAAATATCAGAACATAATGCGAAAAGATGCAGAGACGAAAATGCGGCGCCGTCCCTACTAAGATTCTAATCTTCTTTGTTGAACAAAATTATAAAGCAGCGTTTATAACAAACTGCTATATATATATATATATATATATATATATATATATATATATATATTTTAATAATTTAACCTTTATCTAGAAGAACTTGTACGCGTGCTTGTTTAACAGAACCTTCGTGATATCCTTCACTGACGATAGCTACCGTCATACCGTGCCAAAGTTGTTCGTAGTTTAACATTGAAGAGAAGCCGCTAACTCTATATATATATGTTAAACGATTAACGTTAGTAATGAACGACCTTATCCCCAAATATGGCAGGCAATTGTTGTTGTATGCACATACACAAACACACACGCACACCCTCTCACACACACACACACACACACACACACACACACACACCCACTCATATCCACATACACATATATATGCGGACATACATACATAGACATATATATATATTTGTATATATATATATATATATATATATATATATATATATATATATAGAAAGTTTTACAAGGTAATCGTATATAACATAATCAATGAATGAATGTGCATAGATAGTAGGCCAATGTCAGCAAAATAAAATCATGGCCTGATTCAAACTACAATACTATGCAGAACAACATGCAATCATTTTCGAGAACAAAAATTGAATGCACATTCAGTGTAGTATGTATTATCGTGTCTCTATCTCTGTCTGTAATATGTACGCGCGTGTTTGTGTAGACGACGTAATGACTTTGACCCATTTTTTTCAATTACGTACACGTTCAATTTATAGTAAGATACTATTGCATATGTATACACAGAAGCGTGCATTATTGCATTGCGTTCAGTCATTGCACGTGTAATAGTGTTTGTGTGCTTGCATATGTATAATTGAGTCGGTGTGCTATAATATCATTTGAAACTAGACCAATGTCAACACCGAAGCCAATATAACCTTTAAAATGTATAAACACAAATATATATGTTTATATATATGTAATGTATATAAATGTGATATATATATATATATATATATATATATATGTATGCATATGTATAGGTAGGAGAGAAAGAAAGAATCAGAGAGACAGATAACGTTATACCGAATGAATTGCATCCTTGTATCCAATAAACGAGGTATTAAAATACCGCTTGAGCTTGACCTAAATTTTTATTTTAGTCATAAAAAAAAAAAAAAAAAAAAAAAGAATCAAATGCTAACGTCATATTCTAATAGCACATAAAAATTATTAAGCGAAAAAATAAAAAAGAATAAGAAAGTTATAGCCACGTTAGATCGAATTTGGGAATTACTTTTCTTTACGTCCAAAGATTATTATATAAGATATTAATTTAAAAGAAATTGTTCCCCCTTTAACTTAACATATATGTAATTATAATATCGGCTTATGAATCGCGATAATGGAAAGAAAATGATATTAAAAAAAAATTGTAGGTGTGTTTATTTGTAAATAAATTATGCTATCTAAAACCTATATTTGTTTATCAATACTCCAAGCAAGTCTGAGTTACTTGGTAAAATTTTAGTCCCCATAACATATGGATTAAAAACTAAACAAAATAGATGCAATTGTAAGCGGGTCTTGATTATTTGTAAAACAAATATATGCGAGCATTTGTATTATATTTCATTTTTCAATATTTTTGATATACGATTTTCCCCGATTTGCATCAATAGTCTTTAGAGTCCATTATTGATAACGCCTGCTAATAATGCTAATAATGATAATAATAATTAAGTACTTTACTATAAAATTACCAACGAGCATATATAGGTATATGTCATAATTTAGTTTAAATGTAATTCGATCGATATTAAATATTTTTGACTAAAGCTACAAAAACGATGACAAAACGAATATGCATACAAACAATGCAATTCTTGCAATAATAACATAATCAATCAAACTATTTATGCATTGCATGCATGTATATACATCGTCAGGTGTAAAAAAATCCTTCTCCTTTTCTCTTCGCTATCTAGCCAAACACTCAATCAACAAGTGTTAGTAGTGCTTTTAACATTGAAACCTTGGCCCATTTTT